GTGGAAGTAAGCAAGCAACTATGAACAGGATATCAAGGAAGAGGATACTCTTAGTCGCTTTATGCCATGGAAACCAGTATAAGCTCCATCCACCACTTCTATACGCGACCCGACCCAAACCTCCATCGCTATTTTCATATGCCGCTACTATCGTACCGTGTACTATTTCGCTATGTTTTACTGACTGAAGGCCTGAAACAGGCTAAATGAGCCACTAGCGCTCCTATTGCTGTCCATTTGAAATTTATAAAACCAATTCTTTCTTTTCTGCAAGACCTATTAAACGGACTGCTTTTTAAGACTGGTGTGTGCCTTGACACCGAGGGGAGACGCCTTCAAATTCGCTGTCCCGACTAAACACCTTTTCTTACCATTTTTTATTTTACTCTTAGTTCCAATCATAGAAAAACACCCGGAATCCTGTACAGTTCAGTTGGGAAAAGACTGCAAGCTTTTCTGCCATGTTACTGGCAAGAATCTCAAGTACCGCTGGTACAGAAGATCTCGATGCCTGGAGGGGGAGGTTAGTAATACTCCGACCACTCCTAAGGTCATTCTAACAAACATTGGTCACGATATTTAATCAGTTACACGGCCCATTCAAAAGGAAACAATACTACGCTTTTCATAGACTATCTGGGTAGCTCAGTTGTAAAGCGCCGGACTGCCGTGCGGGAGGTTCAGACCGGGCCTAAAATAATTGTGGAGAATGTGTTGCCTTTGCTAGGACATTGGCGAATGGTAAGCGTTCTAGTCTTCTCGGATAAGGACGGTAAACCATACCGTACAGTGGTCTGGCCTCGTTTTTGTTTACACAGGCCCCCATTTAACAAGCTTTAAGCTGAACTGGGCCAGCCTTTCTAAATATCGTAATTACATACATGCATACTAACACCATCAACACGGTGTTGATGACTTGAAGGTTAGCGCAAATGAAAGTATATTTTTAACTCTTGGGTGACGAATGACGCAGAAGAATGTCCAAATTGTTATTGAATGCTGATTAAATTGCAAAAATCGTTATCGAATCTGATTTGCGCGCAAATGACCGGTTTTTGTCGCTAATGAATGCAGCTTTTCGCAATTGTTCGTCTTTTTCACTTAAATGAATGCGTATTTTCTCGTAGAGAATAAAAAAAGGTGTAGAACGGTTATCCGACAACTACCCACACAAGCGAGTAAATCGCGGTGTTTGTTAAAGCAAAAAAAATGGTAAATCAGCAGGAAATCCGTAATTTGATAAACTTTGTGTACGAAAGTCTCGAGTTTTCCTTTTCCCAAATTTTGTTTCTTATGCAGATTTCAATGAACATTTCAATTTTTTTCGCATATCTTGCGTGACAGCGGCTGTTTCTAAGTTTCCTATGAAATTTTGTTCGGGAAAGTGCCGCGCAGCCGGCCAAAATTGGATCCCCTTGCGCATGCGTTACGTTTGATTGCTGCGTTGGATATCCCTGTAAGGCTTGAGATAACTGACATATCTAGCCAATGACAGCCTTGAAAAATTTAAAGACTACATTTTTTAAAAATACTTAAAACCCTGACCTAACCTAATGTAAAAGTCCTCCCAGAACTTTTGGATGTCCTAAAGTGAAATATAAGTAAATTTAGGTCATTATCAAATTTTTCTCTTTTATTCAAAGATGTAATAAGTCTATTCTGGCTAACAATTTATTCCACTGTTTTTATTACCAGACCTCTTCAGTACTCCATATAAGGAAAGCCGCCATGAATGACGCTGGGCAGTACTCATGCATCATATCGAATGACAAGGAATCTGTGATCACCTGGGCAACCGTTGACGTCATTTCCGTTATTTCATCCCCTAAAGTTAGATAGCAAATTAGGAAGCGAAGTTTTGTTTCGATTTTTCGTGCGAACTTGAAGATATAAATAGGAGCCTTTTTGTATACATTCGTCAATTACTTACTCTTCGTTAATCGTTTGTCTCCAAGAATGCTAGGTCAGTTCAGAGTCAATTTGATAAATAAAGTGCATTTCTATTGAGTTTCGTGAAACTAGAGTAATCAGAACAGCCAATCGGAAGACAGGAATATATCACAAGGAGCCGATAACATCGCCAAGAAAAAAGCGCAGGAATACGCGAGTAAGCAAGTCGTGATTCACTTTAGCTTTAAGCCTAGTTGCGTTAAAGAATGGCGCGAGTTTTCTGAACCGATAACATAGAGCTACAACTAAATTAAAGGAATCCTGGAATACTTTCGACGCCCTATTTTAACTACGAACTTGACTCCATTTCATAGCATAGGGAAGCCACAGTGCAGCCAATTACTTTAATACTTAAGGAGGAAACAGGTAAATAGACAAGTGAAATAAACGAACAAACCAAGCAGAGTAACACTTGATAAAAGTTCTTCATGTCGAGTTCAACATGAAAAATGATTTTTCTTTTTTCTTGATTGTTTTTTTATATCTCTGAAAAGGCAAGAATTAAACTTTAGCTTCAACCAGGCCCTTATTATAAGCGCTGCAGGACCCGCGTTTCTAAGCCCGCGGTAAGACTTGAGACGAGTTGAGGAGAGGTTTACCGGGAGTCTGGCACTAACAGCGCTTAAACGCCGGCTCACGGTGCTCGAGGCCTCATACGAGGAACCTTAAGCAAACCACGATGGCGACAGCAGCGAGGACGTGGCAAAACAAAAGATCTAATGAGCAGAACAACAGCTCAAAGCGTGCGTTTTAAAACTGTGTACATTTCTTCGTAGTCCTCTGCAAAATAACAACGTAAAATCATCAGAATTTGCGTGGTCTGAGAAAAGAAACCCCGACAGCAAATTATTTTAGTTTCCATTTGGAACTCAACACCGCCCTCATACGTTATGCTAGGGTTAACTTTCGGCTTCATAAGAGATGGTAAACACATCCAGTTATTCGCGAAATTCCAACCAAAATATGTATTCATTTTTAAATCAACGTCTTCCTTGGCATTTCCATCCTAACTGCTAAAGGTCCCTACTTTCCCGTGGGCGAAAAAACACCAAACGCTAAAGCGCTGCTAATGAGGACGTGCTCGCACACAAATTAAAGGTGTAATTTATACAACAGAAAGTCGAACGAGACTTTATACATTTAAGACGATAATTGCTTTGAAATATTCTCTTACTTACTTTATCATCTTTCAGTTTTACTGAGTTTAAAAGAGCTCTCAATAGAAAACTTTGAGGCTCAGAATCAAAAAAGTCCACGAAATTCAGTAAAAGTAAAAGACTACCACCAAAACTTGAATACGTTTGTACTTCAAAATTTCAAAAGAAATTAAAATGTGGTCATCTGAAATATGCGAAATACCGTATTTCATCGAACATGCGCACGCGCACTAATAAGTGCCGGCCATAATATCAAATAAGCGCCTCTCTCGAATAGGTGCCCCCACCTACCTCACGTTCTTTAATCGTAGGGATGCAAAGAAAACCTGTTTATATTGTCACTTCATTTGCAACTTCTTAAGCTTTACCTACAGCGCAATCAATAAAGGAGAATAGTTATTTCCCGTTCCAGTTATTTCTTTCTCTATGTGCTTGCATAGTTCCTTTATGAGTGTTGTCTGTCCTTTTAACTTTTAGATGGAACCACCTGATCGGCTGCAACAGGGTGGAAGGCAGACAAGGGAGCTTGGAATCCGGTGCTGACGCAAGTTTGTGAAAATTGGCGATACAAAGAGCGGGACATGCAAAATAGCACAACTGAGCGCAGGTGAAAGAATTAGATTTCATTTTCATATTACAGCCGGCAAATGTATATATCTACGCGTGAATAGCCTAAAAAGATGCCTCTTTCGAAGTGACCACGTTAAAATCTTCCACTGCGCTTAAAGTTTCATATTCACTAGTTAGAATTCTCATTGGTTTTGATATACATTCCCTGTCTCTGGAAAGAAATTTTAGAAAATTTCTAAAAAATTAAAAAAAAAAAAACACTTACACCCACCGATGATGAAAGCTTGTATAATTGTCAAATTCGAAAAAGGTCATCCGAAAAATAATAAAAAAAGGACAAAGTTATTTTTAGTGGACAATCACTAAATTGTCTTTTTTTTCTTTTTTTGAAATAGGTGCGGTAACTTGTACGTGCAGCTCAAAGCCAATTTGATAGACATAACCCCTAAGTGATCAGAACGCGGTCAGTTTAATCCGCGACGCTAATATTGAGTGACACATTTGGAAACCTTTAAAAGAGAACACCATATTAAGCACTAGGCAGATCATTTTCTTGTCTTAGCATTAACATTTTCATCATTGGTGTTTCGCAAAATCCACTGGCTAATGAGAGATCTATCAGCCAATGGTGGATGAAAGTGGAGAGTAAAGCTCTTAAAAACATCACTAATTAAGTATGCTGCTTTCGGGTGTTTGTTCAAAGTTCTTTAAAGGCCAGAAAATGGAAATTTCATACTCAATTTGCAATTCTTTCGGGCCGGACTAGCATGTGAGCAGAAGATTGTAAAGGACTGCTCGACAAAAAGAAGGTGAGATTAAAACCCAAACCAACACAATTTGATAACAGTGGATAGGAGATCCGATTCACGAACCGAAACAGAAGAACCACAAAATTTATGCCAATTTTTTCGGTGTAGATACGGAGCCGAACATGAAGGAGTTATAATTGCTGTAGGATAGTAAATTGCATCGTTCGCACGGAAAGCCCTTTCTAAGCTTGTTCCGTTCAAATTGATGAAACAATGACCAGGTTAAAAAAAATCAATTATAAAATTCCGGATCGTCACTTTTTCACCAGAGGGAATTTGAAAGGTGAAATTACCAGCCAGTCGCTTCCGACCTTCGAAAGATATCGTTCTCCGTGTGTTTTCGTTTTATAGACCCAAAATATCACAGGATCTTAAATGAAATAGAAGATCATTGAGGCCTCAGTTTTTCTTCTGCCGGACATACATAAATTTTTTGTAATTTTAAGAGGAAGTTATGTTTCTATTTTAACCGACTGCCATCTTTCCGGTTGGTTAACGCTATTTCGCAACGAAAACAGATGAAAATTACAAGAAGGTAGAGATTAAAAACCGCAGTTGCGTTATCATATATTCCTCACGAACGGAAACCATTTACGCGTTCGCGCGAACAAAACCAAATAATTCACAAGTGACTCGCACTCGGTTTCCATCTTCTTCTGACAAGAAGGCACTATACGCTGATGACAACAAGACATCTTTCTAAAAATAGAAAACGAGTGCAACATTTCTAGCCCCAACTTGAAGAGAAGTAAAAAGAAAAAAAAATAATTAAGAAAAAGGAAACAGATCTTGCCTAAGGCAAGGTTTTCAGAAAAACGACTGAGTTGATTTCCAACCTAGTTTATCGGCAAGTAAAATAAATGATGTAACCATCCTTCTGACGGACAACATTTGCCTTGCTTTCAACAGCAGGCAAGCCTTTTACAAGCTGACCGAGACACAATCTTTTCATTAGCTTTGTAATATGAATATTTTATTTTACAAACTGACGATTTTTTGGCAAGATCACCATATCGTTGTCACTTTTAATTAGTCCCATGCGAAACAGATTTACTCGTAGAATGTTTCTCGAGCTAAAACCTTTTCACTTGGTGATCAAACAGGACTAATGAAGGACTGTTAAACACATTCAAGGAAAACTTCCCAGATCGACTGTTCGCTGACGTATATCAACTAGGTAAAACCGGGTAAGGACTTTGTTTTATGTCACCAACCAACCATGATTACGTAATTCGACATCACTATCTCCCATGGTTGAAATTGTTTTCGGAAGCCAAAAAATAGAGTTCACGTAAAATACACAAACTGTGAACGTAAAAGCGGTTAGTTTACATCCACGAACATGTTTTTCCATTGTGTGGAGTGTCTAAAAAGTGTTTGTAATCAAACTGGTGTGAATTTCATCTGGCAATCTCCGAGAGGGTCTGTTGAGGATGACAGGCAATACAACGTTTATTTCCAAAACCAGATGCCTTTGTTTTGATAAGAAAACGAAACGAGCTCACTTATCACAACAAGTCAGTATTTAACCGACATCTGAATAAAACGGAATAAACATTCAACTTCGCGGGTATTTTACGTAAACAATCACCATTAACATTGCGAAATCGAAAATGATAAGATATTGACAGAGTTGTAAGTTCAAAACCGAATTTAAGACAATATATGAAGTTTGGACCGATGTTAAAATGCACTCTATCCAAAGAAAATTCCAAATCTGCCCCATACTTTTATTAGCATTCAAAAGGTAATGGGTTTTCCCTTCTTCAATACTTTCACGGGCTATAACACCTGTTCACGTCCTTCATTAGATTTGTTAACTGCATGGTCGGTCGGGAAGTATACTTCACTGATCATTGTCAGCTCATACTGAGTCAGTCAATAACAATGTCTTAAGAGAAATTGGCTTGAAAGACGCTTTGCTATAAATAGAAGACGCTACAATGTTTCCCAGCAAGGTATTAAGGGGAGTCGAAATTATCTAACGGATATAAAAAAAATATATTATGTATTTTGATTCTCAAGTCAGGTTTTGTTCAAGAGAGCAAATTCTCGAGTTATTTTCAAACAGAAAAGTAACTTATAAGCATACGTTATCATTTACAAAGCCAGCCATTTTCAAATGATCAAGCCAGAAAGAAACAAAATTTCTATGAAAAATGATTTCGCGTTCCTTGTGTTAAAAGAATAGAATCAGACCATACTGGTCTGATATCAATTGATATCTTGGCTCCAAAAAAACAGAACGTAAACGTCGGTAAAACTAGAACTGAGTAAAATGCACCGAATGTTGTCCTCTTGACAGCAGAAAAGAAGGGAAAGAACATACCGTGTTTTTATGGATAAATTTATTTATCAGTCCAAGATAGTAACGTTAATGGTTTTAATGGAGGACAACTCATAAATGTGATAATCCAGTCCAAATCAAAATGAGTTTCAAGCGCCATGTCGGCTGCATCATGCAGCTGACATCCTAAACGCCTGCGGACCTGACTTACGGTTGGCTAGGCGCGTCCGTTAAAAGAAGTAACAAAATGAATGCTAAATAACCACGAGTATCGCTTAGTTTTAAGTGCTTGTGGACCTTAATATAAACTTCTGTCAATGATCTGTTCTTTGAAAAGATCCCGCAGAGAGTGTGTGTCGTACGACATTAGAAATGAACCGGCTTGCTTAAAGAACCGGAATAAAGTAAATGAATCTCACAATTTAGAAAAACAATTTTTCTTGAGGAAATTTGACGAGCTTTTCGAATTGCTTTCTTGTCTCTTCACATGCACAATGGAAACCATTGTGGCTTGAAAGGTGCTGCATAATTATTCGAAGTTTATTGGTTCATGTCATCTCGCACCTTTTATTTTGGTTAGCGAAGGTGATCGACGACGGAGCTTTGGGACACCATTTCAGTAGTTTCTAACAATACTAGCATGGAAGCTTTGATCTTAGTCTAGCCCAACACGGTTTATCGCTTGCGGCGTTATTATCACTTTGTCGGGCACTGTGGCGCATTTTGCGGGCAAAAAGGGAAATTTTGGCGGGTTAAACGCTCGCACGTTGCGTGCGTGATTGTTCAGACCGTTGTGTTGTCATTTTTTCCGTTTTTTATTTCTTAATGGCCCAAAAGTGATAATAATAGTAACACAGTTTATGTTCGTGGGTATAAATGTATTTTTGGCCCTTCTCCGACACTAGGTCGGGTCCAAAACATATTTATGCCGGCGAACAGAAACTCTCATTGTTTTATTATGCAGCAGGCGTTAAGTTTACGCACAGCATCTTTCAGGTTCTTTAAAGAAAGGCTGTTGTAACAAAAAACAGAAAATGACGCAACGAAATTGTCAACAAATTACAAGCTGCTAAGACCAACGGTGTCCTAGCTCTGGCAAATGATCATAAACTGGCTCAAGTCAAATGCATGAATGCACCTTTGTTTAGCTAGTCCGCTTTAAGAAGCTCTACAAAATGTTTCGTTTTCACAAGATGATTTGTTCAGGAATCTTATGCACTATTTGCTATGAGACTAAATACACTATTTGATGTAAAAACTGACTTGCGACAGTTTCAGGCCCATTCAGGAATTTTTCTTCTCTGATACCACGCCTCGAGTTGCATGATGTCAAGCGAAGTAAAAAGCGCGGGAAACACCAGCGAGAAGACACCTCAGGAAGATTTCACGGATGAAATATATCAAACAAATCAGAACCTGAGAACGGTACACAATCGGTCCATCTGTGATTTGAATTGAGCTTAGGTTCACTAGTGTACTTTATCATGTACCCCTGAGGATTTTCAATAAGTTGCGCTGCAGATACCACTGAATTTGATAGCGATCTTCACAACACTACTTAAGCAGTAGTGAAAATAAGGCCTGAAAAAAATTCAAGCCTGCGGGGGATCTGAAAAGGCCTGAATATTTTTCAGGCCTCATTTCACCACTGCTTAAGTAGTTTTCATTGCTGCGAAGATCGCTTCCAAATTAATTTCCTTAAACGCAGTTCACATATATTAATATATTTACAGTCGTAGATGACACTATTTCTTACCAAAACTGATATGATGAAATCTAAAGAAGACAAAGTCATATTCAAATCTGGATCAACCTTCAAGCAACTCAGAGATAAAATGGCAGCTAGATACTTCGGCAGAAGTTAATGCCATCTCAAACTTCGCTAATCTTTAGAAAAATTTTCAATTGAGTGTCGAGAAGCCATAACCAAAGTAATCCAATAAGAACCCAAAGTTAAAAAGAAGCGGACTGCTTGAAGCGCGGGAAAACGTGAACGAGTAAGTCGCGATTTTTTTTAGTTTTGCCATAATCGAAAGTAATGCCCGGAGGAAATTTCTCAAACGTCGGTCATGTGTTTCGCCACGTTTGAAACAACAAAAATTTACTTGTCGTAGATTTGTTTTTCGCCTGTTTGAATCTCAAATGACCGATGTATATTGAAGAAAACACAGTTCCTCTAATTTAAAGCAGTTTTCTGCCGTCTTAAATCACTAACAAGCTACGTATTAGCGTTCGCCATCAAATGACGATGATCCAAAGATTTGCAAATTATGATATACTGTTAATAGAATCTCACGTCAGTCTTTGTCGGTTATAACGTTTTCAAGCGGAAATGTGTAATGTAGCTAAAAATCGAGATCTGTTTACAGGAAAGATGGCTGAATTGAAGTCTATTGACAGCGAACATAGCACTTTTCTGTTGTATACAATGTTATATTCGTATTGTATTTTTCGATTACTCTATGTTATGTTCGGTATCCCGCATAGAGAGTAACAATTCTGTTTTTCGCTTAAACGCTAATTTTTTTCCTTAATGAGATGGTTTCTTCAGTTCGACTTTGGCCCCTACTAAAACAGAAATTTACATTTTTGATACATACTGAGTTTTAAGCGGCTCCCCACTCAGAAAAGGATGCAAGTCTCCAGAAGTTTCGTCTGAAATTTAATCATGAGAATATCTTTATTTTTGGAACCATAGTCATTGGGATTTAGTCGGTTTCAGTCGTAAATTGATATGCCACAATCAAATTTAAAACACCAGTGTAAATATCGAAAATGGTCGGGACAATTTCATTTCACTTGCCTAATAAAACTTTGTTCGATAGACATCAATTAATTTAAAGTAACACGAATTTGATTGACAGTTTTTGGATTATAATTTGCCTTGCATTAAAACCATTAAAACCAGAAAGAAAGAAAAATGGGACTGATATATTTATGGCACATAACATATTGAATATTCAAGTAAATGCTTAACAGTGAACTTGAGATCTGACTCGAGACTAACAGTTGGAAAGAATGGGTGTCTTGTGATAGAAAAGTCCTCTATCCGTTTTTCCCCGAACTTATTAGGGGGTAACTACACAGCTGTCAGAAAATATGGCCGAAGTTTCAGTGTCGCTGATACAACGCAAAAATAATATGGAGGACGTAAACAAAGGCAACCAAAATTTTCAAGCGTCTAATCTTTAACGAAAAAAAAAATTAATTACGCATAAGCCATAAGTGTATGTCCCCATTTGCGCCGAGACTTTTGTCCATAACCAAACGTTTCGTAACTTCAAAGGTCAGCCAAAAGAAGGCGTTGCCATTCAAATGGCAGTTGAAGTTGACAGACATTCTCATCGGTCATCGTGCGATTTTGATGGAAATTCTTTTTATGCGACGCTCTATTCATTAACTATTTCCTGTCCAAAGTGACACTCTCTTCCCAGAGGGCAAGAGATATGGAAAAAAATGATTATCCAAGTTGGGTCACCGTGCGCCATGTTTGCTGCAGCGATTGATGGGTGGAAACAAACAGAGCATGTCGAATATTTCGCAACCCATAAGGATTTGAGGAAGTGCCCCCACAGACTTCACCTCCGTTCTTATTGATAAAACATTCATATTCTGTGAATTCATTTGTAAACGAAAGAAAGGCGCGGAACAACAACAAAACATAATGTTCTACATTGTTACCATACGCGTTCAAAAACAGTCATTTGGTCTTTTCAAATTCCCGCTTTTCACGGATCAGAATTTGGCGCTCTGAGAAACTTTCGCCGCCTTAAGAGAGGAGAAAATTATCGTTCAAAGGCCTCTTTAGTGGATGTTACTTCATGGTAAGTCACAAAATATGGACTCCTAATTTGTCTAAATTCGTCGGTTGCAAGTAGAATGATCATGCATCCCATGATCCCATGATACGGCGCCGATTATCCGAATGTAACATCAATCGCAAGGAGGTAATAAACGTTAAGGGAAAACTGTCGGGATGGCGTATATTACTAAAAAAAAATACACTAGATAAATTATTTTAATTTTTTAATCTCCTAAAACCATTGTTTACATTAGCCTTCACTTGGTTTGGCGCGAGAAAATATCTAAATTTGGTGAAGTCTGCTAAGTCAATATTCAATGTTTAACTCAAAGCGTTGACCGCAGAAAAATTGAAACGCGAAAAGAGTCGTGCTAAGCTTTTCCGTTTGAAACAAGCAGTCTTTACCTAGATGTTTAACGCGAACAAACACCGCTATCGACTTACTTCTCGAGGAAATTTTCAGCCCCTGTGTACTGATAAGTGTAATTTTAGTCATTCGAACACCAACATAATTCTTTACGAAGTCGACATTGAAAAACAAAAAACTGTCGTGACTTAATCGCTAAGGCAGAAAGAAACGCTGTCGGAAAGGTGAAAAATATCAAACTGAAAGAAAAAACAGAAAACTCTGTAAAGTGTGACTCCAGGCAAATTTTCCTGAACGCGTGGGTTTGGGCTCGAAAACACCTGCCCAAGGTTTACGACAATATTTATGTCGGTAAAGGTGAGACCCTGGTGTGAAATTACGCTGAGGACAAAAAGGGAAAAAACATCAGTTACAATAAAATTTATGTTCCCGCACGAAAGACACTGACATCCAAACACGGCAAACACAATGTGTCTTTCGTCTTGGAAAAAACCCACTCGGAGATTTCTCTTGGATTATTTATTGGTCAAAAGAAAAATATACAATTTCAACGAAAAACTTGATTGTTATTTGAGCTTTGCTTGCAAAATACATCAGGACTTGAACAAATTTACGGAGCAACTGAAAAAAAATGATACAAACTGACTTTCTGCGCCTGAACTTAACCTACGCGATGAATTTAGAAAAGCTTCACTATAATGGCGGATGTCTTTTGACAACTCTATTAAGACTCAAGTGGACGCCTGACATAATACACGACGTCTAGACTCAAAGATGTATCTTGCGCGGGATCTACACTTGCTTGAAAAAGAAAAGTGTTCGCTTCATACAATGTCAAAGAAACTCAATTGTCAGCGATATAGGTCGGAGAAAACTTGCTTGAGTCAGAGTTCTCTCGAACCAATCATAGTTTCTTCGGTAAATGTTTTTCCCTATACTAAGGGTTCTTGAAAAATGTTCTCAACGAGAGGTTTCCTTGTTCGGTAATATTTTTCTCTAAGGGTTCTTGAAAAATGTTCTCAAAGAGAGTCTCCTTGTTCAAACTAAGAGACTGTCTACGGAAAAACTTGTCATACCTTTCCCATCTACAATGCCAAGAAACTTGAGAACTTCTCGATGAAAATTTGCTCAAGTGAAAGCGGCTCAAGACAAATTATACTACGCGTATCTGTTGTAATTTGTACAAGACACTCAGACCAGTGTCTTCACCCTCTGTTACACCTCCCAACTCAAATTTGTTTTCCGATTGGAGGAAAACGTGTCACGTGCCATGGGTCAACACTCACTGACTCCCTTGGAAGACACCAACTTGAACTTTCGACTCACGCGTGATCAGGTCATGCACTTTGAAACCATGTCAAATGTGCGTTCAGCTGGCGTCAAAACAATCAATTTTTGGCAGTCATAGCTAGACGTTTCGAAATTTTGACATTTTAACTTTAGGTAAAAGCAATTGAAAAAGGTGTATTGCTGATTTTTCACCGAAAGTTCTAACATTTTTAAATTACTGTTTGGATTTGCAAAATATGAATTGCTATGCTTTCTCATCACTCAACAGCCATGAACAACAAGGGTTCAGAAGCTCTGTTCCAGGCTAGTTCGTCGTGCAAACTTCGTCTTGTGCGCATGCTTGTGGAAGGAGGAACCTCGGTCAATGTTCGTAACGAGCGCCAGGAGACACCACTAATGCTATGCTGTCAATCCAAGACGGACATCGATGAAAAAAGTCGAGTTGTGAGTTACTTACTCAGCCAACAAGCAAAGGTAAATTTGCAAGACGTTGACGGTCGGACAGCTCTGATGTACGCTTGCACTTCAAACTCTGGAAAAGGAATCATCCAGGCTTTGATGGATGCAAAGTCTAATCCGTGGATCGAAGATGGAAGTAAAAGTACAGTGTTTGATTATGTAATGAATGCTGGGGATTTAGAGACCACGAGACTTCTAATTAACGCTTGTCGAGAAAACATCGAAATACGAGGAAATTTTCAAATGAAAAACTTAGAAGAATGTCTAGCTAATATGCAGGACATTCGCAAGTTCTCCTGGCCATTGATGGGCCCCAGGTTACGGAGAAACCACATGAATTTGTATGCTGCTGAGAAAGAAGACACTTCCATCTCCAGCGGAAATCTCTTAGGTGCTGATTTAGGGGTTGATGGCGAAAATCCTCAACCTGAGAGACGAAGGAAAAGATCTGTGTGTCACTTTGATCCGCTTGATATTCAAGAAATATTACGTTGCTCAGAACAGACTAATACCAATAGATCAAAAACAGAAAGTGAACAAGAAGGTAAAAGTGAGACGGAAGGGAAGCGAAAAACCTCTGTTCGTTCACTTTCAGAGGAGGAAAGGTTCAGTGTTCAGATTTCTGATGCAGAAACCTCGCCGCGTGACCCTTCATCTGGGCTTGAAAAACTGCTAAAGCTACAAGATTCTTTCGGCTCTTCAGATTCAAACGAGTCCCCTTGCCCGACAAGTGGTAGTCGCAGGGATTCATTGACAACAGCTGGCTTCTCTTCTGCGAATAAACACTCATGGAAAGAGCAAAACTCGATGCAGGAAAATGGTTTTTCTAGTTTAGAAAAGGTAGAAGATATCACAATCAAGGGCGGAAGCGAGGTTTCTTTAGCACCAAAGATGCCTAATGGCGATGATAAGAGTGAAAACGCAAGTTCATTCGCAGGCGATGAGACGCAAAAATCTGCTCATTCAAACGAAAAGAATAGAACAGAAAAAGATTGCGAACAGGAAAAACTTTTCATAACTCGCAATTCCTCCACGAGTGTGATGCTCAACGAGAACTGCTCATCATTTGTCGAGACCTCAATTCAAAGTCTAAGGCAAGTTAATAGGGACTCCGCCGTGGATAGGGCATTTACGGAAAACACAGAAAACAGGTCAAACCGGATTGTATCTCCAGCAACCAGTCAGCAGTCGTCTCCCGTTTTGAGCCCCATAGCATCCCCAAGAGTAACTCGTCGTCAAACTACTGCACTGACGTTTAAACAAACCACGGCAAGTCCTCGAGCATCTCCAGTGCCGCCTATTTTCGACAACAATCGACAAGAAGCAGGAGCACCCATTGTAAGACGGTACACTCTATCTGCAATGGACATGGGCAAGTTACAAAACACGGCTGGTATCAAGACCCTCTTAACACCACCGACACACTCTTCCACCGCTGACATTGACACCAGGAGGGCGGGGCTGGAGGGATGCTTTGCCCCTCCTGGGCTGAGGAAGAGTAAGAGTGATCTAACAGATTGGAAGTCCATTTCACGCAATTTACAGGGTAAAGAGTATGTAGAAGTCGGACCAAGTCCCGGGCCAAGCATTCACAGCTTTCAGCAGCTTGTCGGCAACAACAAGGAAGGAAGTGATATTACTGAGTTCCAGTTACCGAGTATCTCTTCACTGAAGAAAGGAAGTCGTTCAACGATGATCACTACCACAGAGAGCAAAACTCAGAATGCTGAACACAGAATGGACCTGCCATTACCTTGGCCAAATAATGCCGACAAACAACGCCTGTGCTTCTCTGGTCAGGAATTTCCTGTCGATGATCAAAGACGATCACCCAGCCCAGGACGCAACTCGCTCCCCTCATCGCCAAAAGACCCCACAGTGCCATCAACAGCTGGCGCCTATGACTCCGTTGCTATAGCCAAAGTGGCTGATTTGTCACCAAGGGGCTCAGAGAACTCACCGGGAGATGTGTTTCCAGACCTATTCTTCAACTCTCCCACGAGAGCACACTACACAGAGGACAATAATTCCAAGTTGGGGGAAAGCGTAAAAGCAAATTCGACGAATTTCAACCTCAGAAATAACAGAGACGTCCTTGCTTTAAATTCCAACGTTTCCGAGGATCGTAATGCAGTTTCGTCTCCCAATCAGCAGCGAATTAGTCCAAGACTCCGCCCAGCCACACTTCTACCACCGCTGACAATTTCCAACAGGAGATCGCCGACGCATGACCTCGAAGATGGCTATTTCTCGGGGTCACCTTCACCAGCGGATGTTGAAAGTCCACGAAGAAAATCAAGCAATGAGTATCTGCGGTACTCATTTCGACCGATTTCCCCCCGTTCCCCTATTCGCTCACCAAAGTTCAACACGGGAAAACTATCTCAACCACGTTAGAACTAAGTATTCTATGAAAGATTTGGCGGCAGTGATCGATACAATTCCAAGCTATGACTGACTCATAACTGAAGAAATGGTTTGTTAGACAAAATGGACTAAAATGACTTACAACACTGCATATTAGTTAAAGACACAAAGAATTCATCGCTTAGATTGGGATTCTAAATCATCTCAAATACGAGCAGAACTACAGGAGCAATAGAATCTCACAAATCATGCAACGCTTGAAAACCGTTTTATTTTGCCAGACAGGCCCCTTTATGCCAGGCGTCGTGCGCAGGACGATTTATAAAGTGAATCCTTTAACTCCCAAGATCTGATTACTAATTCTCCCCACTAGCTGCTACACATTTCCTTGTAAATTCCAAGTTAAAAGAGAATTTCATGTTCGATCGAGATAACAACTTCTTCCCGATAAGATTGAGTGTTATCACTACCTTTTTTTTTCTAGATAATGTGTGGATATCATAGAGAGAAGTTTCGTGTTGATTACTGGCGGGAATAAAAGGGTTAATATAAAGTAAGACTCGTTTTCGAAACGAGAATCTAAAGCTGGTACTTGCTTGTAGCTTTCATTGCACTTCTTTTAGGATTGTTGAATGTGTTAACGTTTACCCCCGCAAAATTTTTTTCTGTCCTGTGTCAACCTGTGTACATAATTACTAAAGAAAATAAGTAGTAACTAGTTAGGATTTCGACCAAGTAAAAGAAATTTATTTCCAAAGATGTAATTTTTCTTTGTTTAGGGTTAGGGTTGTCTCCGGGTCGATCAGAACGAAACATCTCCTCTCAGAATCTCATGACTATTTGCGCGAAGAACTGAGCGCTAGTACCCAGGCTATGCCCCTTCATTACTTTTCGATGCCCTTTAAAACCGGGTAAGCTGCTAGGAACAACCAAGGCTTCTTGGCGAGCTTCCCATAAAAAGGAAGGAAGGAAGGAAAAGGAAGGGGGAAGAAAAAATATTTTAATTAATAGCTACAGATTACTGTCTTTGCAAAGCGCCAAAGTGCCTTCGCAGAAGTAAGAAATGTGAGAGGTACCGAAAACGAAATACAGTAAGTCAAACGAAGAAAGAAAACTCCAGGCTGACCGGTTTTCATCGGCTTTGTTTCACATCAGGCAAACATCTCTAGTTAGCCCCAAAAGATGGCTAACCAATTCCGCGAGCAGCACCCCAGTCCAAGTCAAACAGGCTTTTCATCGAGCCATTAGCAAGTTTCTGACACATCTTGAGGGACTTGTTTCTCATAAACACAAAATCTGTATTGGATTTGGTTTTCTTCAATAATGCCTTGAGGCACTCCACTGGGTGTACTGAAACAGAAAAGAGAATTCGTATAGAAGCCTCTCTGTTCATCGACCGAACTCAAAATTGAACATCTTTCATATCTTATTTACTCCCGACGACTCTTTTGATAATGCTCATTCCAGCATTAAACAGGACGCTTGCCATTTATGAACATTTCAACTGGCACAGTTCATTATCGAGTTCTCTCATAGTTACATTCAGTAGTCGAGGAGCGTAGCGCGAAATGCGAATGCCTGCGCCGGGTTCAATTCCTTGTAGATGATGGGCGCTCCTGACAAGACAAATAACCCCCTTTTTCTTTTTGAGCGCTTTTTGAGGAGGGTCATAAAACTAAAATCAAAGCTATCAAAACTGCAAAAGAAAGATTGGTATAAGTTTTGATTATGATTGGTTGAGAAAGTGGCACGGTTTTTATGAACCAATCAAATAACGAATTAAAGCAAAACCAAAGCAATTACGGATTACTTTCCACATTCCATTGAAATTGCTCTAATAAACGAACAAATGCACAATTCTTCATCTTATTCTACTCACTCGCGCAAAGCTTTTGATATTCGCGACCTTGTCTTCATGCAGGACACGTGTCACGTATAAACCTAGCCATGGTCCAGGTGAGGAGGTTCCCCATAGGCTCGATTACTCGCTGCTGTTCGGCAATGTGAACTCGCGCTCCTCCTTTCCCCGAACCCTCCTCGGGGAGGAGCGAAGACCAGACACGAGAGAGCGGCGAAAATCGAGCCTAGTTCTCTATAGCTCTACAGTAGAGCAAAACCCGTTGGAAGGTCGGATTTAGACTCCTCCGATGATCCAGATGTTTTTCTTAAATCATATTTTGACCGGCGGATGGTATACTAGCATGGAAATGATCCTCGCAGTTAACCAGCAATTGAAGAAAATGATACTGTCCCTCTGACTCATTTTCTTCTTTTTTTCTTCAGTTCTCTGAAGTTTCACGTAACTCCTAACGTAACTGGACACTTAAAATGTATTTAACTGAAGCAATTTTCAAGTTGCAAGATGTCTTACTCGGAACGTGTTATGTATTGTACCCATATATTGTACCTTATAAGACTGTATTTGCTTCTGTCAAAGGCCGGGAAAAATGCATCTGACTCAAATTCTTTGTCTATTTCTGTTAAATAAATTCTTTGACAGTAAGAAGACTCAATTGCTTCCTGCGAAAGAAAATAAGAAAAAAAGTTTTGGTTATGTGAAAAACAAAAGAAGAAAAAAAATGCAATTCCTTTCTACTTTATCACAGAAGATGCGAAAAATGCGTTGAGAATATCAGTCACGCATTCACTAGCAGTTCATTAAATCCCTTTAAGGTCCTTTCCATATTTTCACGTTATGATCTTTTACAAAACAGTCGCTCAACAAAATGGAGCCTGTTTGTCAAACATTACGTGCCAGTTGTTTTATACGAGGTCTAACCCACACCACGGTTTTACAAAAGTGGTGGGCTTTGTTAGGGATTCTCTGTAAGAGGGTTGATTTAATCAAATACATATCTTTCCACTGTTAGCTTTCGGCCCTCTTGACAATGTTCACAAAAAATGAATGTTCACATAAAAGGTTTAGCTAAATTGAGGATTGTTTAGTGCGTGGTTTTGTTAAACAACGGCTAAACTTTGTTTAAATAATCAGACCTACCAGTTTACAACCACTGCAATTTTCAGTTGTGTCCAAAGGAATCTGGGACTACATTGATCAAGAAAACTCAGACTGCCCTCTCAATCAATAACATGCAAAACTAAAACCATCTCCACTTGGTCGCCTGCCTTTTCCCACACATTAGGTTGTTTGCTTGTTTCTACGGGAGTCCCTTTCTAGTGATTAGCCGTCGAAATTATTTTGGTTTTGGTTTTAACACACTAAGTTGAGAAGTGCTCTAGGGATCATAACATGATAGTTAAGATATTTACCTTGTACACATCACCACCACCAAGTACAAAAATTTCTTCCACTGTGTCCAAAAGAGGAGGGAGAGATAACATTTGAACTGCAGACCAGACACTGTTAAAAACATGGTGTGCTCCAGGAGGAGGCTCCCTGATTCAAAATAAGTAGAAACTAAACACTTGATGTACTGTAACAAACTTGTGTGAAGGAGGTAATTAAGCCAATAGCAGCTACTTAGAGGGTAGATTTAACCAATCAAAAAGAGTTGGTCATCTAATTGTAGCCTTACACAAAAGTCTTTGTACACCTTACATATCTGTAATTCTATTCAAATTGGTAGAATTCCAGGAACAAAAATGCTGGAAAATATACCTGCTAAAGTCTGACTCCTCAAAGACCAGATTCTAAATTAACCATTTGCACCATGTTTTATTGAAACCACTGGTGTGGAGAGAATCAGCACACACAGGGCAGGCTTTCATTGCATAGTGTCAATAATTATCATAAAGTTGCATTTCATTCTGTTATTGGAGCTTTGCACTTGCATAAACTTCCCTGGCCAATTAACATTAACAACTCAACTGATAAAACCAAATTATCTAGGAAACAAAATTGGAGGTTCTCTTCCACTCCATAAGCCTTGCAAGAACCCTGCCCATGTTTGCTCACTTGCTGCATTGCTTGTCTCCTCTGAGAAATTTCCTGGTATTGGTTGTAATTTGTTTTTTGGGAGGGATATGAGATGAGTTTTGACCTGATTTAGATCCTTTTTATTTCTATACACTGAGAAGTCAAAACATCTACAAACAAAATAGAAGGGATTGATTCCTTAATTGTTATGTGTGTTCATATCAAAGGCACACATGGTACTTACTTCAGTGTCTTACTTATAACAATGTTCAGTCTTCCAGGTAAGGGTTGGTTGGTCATATCAAGTGATTCCCAAGTTTTTCTCCCCATTAATACAGCATTCCATTTACCTATTAAACAATCATTAAAAGGCTTGTATTTAACCTCTTACCCAAACCGCTTGCCAAAAGATGATTAGAAATCTCAGAAAGCTAGAGGCAGACCAGTAACCTATTTACAGAGTGCAGCTAAAAAAACCAAATTTGCAACATCCAAGATCAAACTAGTAATGAAGAGCAGGGTGAAGTTTTTTAATTCAACATAACTCTATTCTTCATTGTGTGGCCCAGGTTAAAATTCTGGCTGATGTCAATCTATTATGTTCTAGAGCGATGAATTCTCTCGTAGGGTATATATGGATAAAAGTGAACCCTGAGAAAAAAATCTGACAAAGGGCTCAACACCAGGAAAATTGACTGGCTGTGGGGACAACTCTGTCTGGCTGCTTCCAAAATATCAACAAAAGGAATGACATATATGTAACCACCAAATATTTTCCTTATATTTCTTTTAAAATAAAGATATATTTGAACTTATAAAATGTAGGGGTTAAATAATTAAAAGATTTTACTGATAGAAAACTAATTCATTCATTGACTGGTTCATCAACTCAAGATTCAATCCTATTGTGAAACCATAACTTTTAGTAACTGAAGCATATTAGTTTCCCCTCTTAAAAGCAGAATAACTGGAAGAACTTAAAAAATTTCTGGGAAAGTACATCTCTAAACCATTGAGGGGAAGGGAAGCAAGTCTCCTTATGCCCTATGTTAAGTATGCCCAGGCACTCAATACTGATGCTCCTATGCTGCAAACCTTAATAAAAATCCTTGCCCTGATAGATTCATATCTTATTCGGGTAGAGTGATAACAGATTTCTAATGGTTCAGAAATTGGGAAGGGCTACAATCAATTTCTCATAAGCAAGTTTATAATACCTTCAAACACTTGGAGCTGTGCTTTAGCAGGGTCCATGTGAAACAGGTCACCAACTTTTGTCTCTAAGAAAACCTAGAAACTTTCCTTTATGAAAGCTGATCTTGGGAGCATGAACAGTTACTATTTAAAATGCCTTACTACCTCTAGATCTTGTGTTTTTATCTTTTTATCGATTGTATTTCATATCCACTTTCAGTGGGCTTAAAAGTGTTCAATAACACACCTTGTTCATTAACCTCAGTGGTAATTTTCTTCAAGAACATCAGGTCTGTCCTTAACAAAGGAAAACAAAAATCTTTTAGTTTTGATACAGTCTGTTCCTATAGTAGTTCCTAGTAATAAAATAGTAATAATAGATGAACTTGAGACTTAAAATCTCCTTTTATCTTCCTTCTTAGAAAAAGGTTTTCATGTGATAGAGTGGTACATCAGAAATAAAGCACATGTCATGCTTATTATAATGAATAATAACCCTTATGGAGAGTGCCATCTTCACTAACGATTTAGACGAGAGTCATCTAAGACCACAATCGTTGACATAATTGAAAAAGGTTTGATCATTTTTCTCACACCCAACAAGAAAATTGACAAAACTCTGTACAGTTTTCTTCTATTATTTACCCAACATTTAATGAATAAATGTTAAGAAGCAAGTGAGCTAAAGGCAAAACCATCCATAGAGTTCGTTTCCTTGAAGCAAACAATCAATAGAGTTGAATACATTCAAGCTGAAGCAGGTTTACCTCAGTGAGGGCCAGGGCAATCTCCCGTTTTTCCCAATCCCCATATTTGAGCTTACGGCAGCAACACAGCTCACACAGCGAACACGATTGCCAGAAAAACTTGTTATCATTACTAACAATCGTTCGGTAAACGTAAAATCGTGCGAAATATGTATTAGTCGAAAGAAGGTGCGATTCTGAGCTGATCTATTATTTCGAAGGTGCTAAGTACCAAACTTTGTACAATAGTCAGAAAGTGCTTATGTCTTTCGATCCCTTTGGGAGCGTTAAATTGTTTGAGGAAATGTAAAATAACATGTAGGCGCCATTTTTGAACCTTCACACGCTTACCGCTGGTATCTACACTGCAGACTTAATCGCGCGTCAACATCGCGCAATTTAAAGAGTTTAATTTTCGGGGTAACCACAGAAGTAAACTAAATCTCGGTTTCAGTGTGGTTTATACTAAAACAACTATTCACCTCCACTTCAGTGAGTAAGTGTTAATTACCGTATTTCCTCGAATAAGCGCCCAAGCTCGAATAA